AAAAACTTCAGCAATTGCTGCTGAAATATTGTGTGTCATGTTTAAAATAAAGAAAAGAACACCAAAGCTTTTATCTGAATTATATCAACGTTATTACATATCTGTCCGGACACATGGTACTGTAATATGTACAATTTAGGTAATTTTGATACCCTCCTTGACGGGCCTCGGATAAAAGTGTCAACATAATCAGAACTAAACAAACTAGTTTGTTAGTAAGGAGAAGAACCTAGCTGTACTGTGTCAAATTTTTGTACCTTTAGCTTTAAAATTATGAAATTTGTATAGAAAAATGTTCAAAAAGTGTCCGGTTGATGGTCCCTGACCAGTATAGTATGATAAAATTCTGTAGAATTAAAACAGTCGTTGTTGTATCTGCCATAATAGATAGAGATATTTTCTGCAGAAACTTTTGTATTTACTTTTTTGTTTGTATTGAATTATTCATACAGTGGTATTTAACCAGGTTTTCAACGAAAACAGGGTTATTGTAATGCTGAAGTCGGCGGGCGGGCGGGTGTACAGGCAAGCGGGCGGGCATGCATCAACTTTTGGTTTCCGCTCAACAACTTTAGTTTGCTTTGGCCATTTGACACCAAACTTTGCGTGTAGGTAGCTTATATCAATAGGCAGCTTGGGATTGCTACCCAGGTGTCTGTGATCAAGGTCACTGTTACTAAAAATAGAAATTCAGTTTCTGCTTAATAACTTGAGTTTGCTTTGGCCTAATGACACCAAACTTGGTGTATGAATAGCTTATATCAAGAGGCAGCTTGGGATTGCTACCCATGTGTCTGTTATCAAGGTCAAGGTCACTATTTCTGCTCAGTATCTTGAGTTTCCTTTGGCCTATTGACACCAAACTTGGTGAATGGATAGGTTATATCAAGAGGCAGCTTGGGATTGCTATCCAGGTGTCTGTGATCAAGGTCAAGGTCACTATTACTAAAAAAAGAAATTCAGTTTCTGCTTAATAACTTGAGTTTGCTTTGGCCTAATGACACCAAACTTGATGAATGGGTAGCTTATATCAAGAGGCAGCTTGGGATTGCTACCCAGGTGTCTGGGATCAAGGTTAATGTACATGTATTTAGTTTTCATGTTATAACTTGAGTTTGCTTTGACCTTTTGACACTAAACTTGCTGAGTGGCAGCTTTGGATTGCCACTAAGATATCTGGGAGGAACTTCAAGGTCAATTGCTTACAATAGAATTTTCAGCTTCTTCTCAATAACTTCAGTGCTTTTTTACCTATTGATTGCTGTCACATCAAAACTTGGTCGTTGAAAACCTGGTTTTCGTCGCATTGCGGCGCTTCTTGTTAATTATTTTCGTACAAAGAAATTATTGTTTTATTACACTTTAGTTTAATCCAAAAAAATACCCAAAACAAACAGATTGTGACTACATGCCTTTAAGGTGGATTCCCCAGAGTTGTACATATACAGAAAGTACCGGAAAATGGCGTTTAGCTAGATTTTTGAATTCCTGAATTTTTATCTTTCAGTTTTCACGTGAGCAATGCAAACAATACTATCGAATTAGTGAATTACATAAATGAACTGTATTGAACTCTCAGTGTATTATTTTTGTCATTCAGCAATAAGCTTGATACCGTGATAGGATATCAGAATACCAGTCAACCGTTTACATTTCTTATCTAGAGATAAAATAAATTATCTAAAGATCCAATCTGAATCACTACAGTGAGTCATGATGTACATGTTTTAATATGTGATAATGATCTTTCCCGTTCTTTAAACAGGCTGGTGAAAATGCCCGATCAGGCTTATGACATAAAAATCATATTTCTAGAAAAATAATAAAGCTATTTCTTTTAAAGTTAATTTGTTTATTGGGCATACTACATAACAGAAAGAACATGACATAAAAAGAAAGAAAAATGATAAACTAAAAGTTTGCACTTAGTCTCGTTGTTGACATTTTGACGATTGATGGTGGCCATTTTCAGACCAGGCATTATATTTGTCAAAAGCTCGTAACAATACAGTATTCATGATATATTTTGGCTTGGTGTATTAAAAAGAAACAGTTTGTTAAAATGTGTGATTTTTATGATGAGAGATGTATAAAGAGCTATAGATGCACCATATAAGTACTAATTTCTGCGGACTTAATATATTCTGTGATTTTTGTTAAAATAATGGGTTTCAAATTTCTGCGTATTTTATGCCTCTCGCATTGGTACGATTTATTTCTGCGTTTTAATAAGATCTTTATTCAAAATCATCAAATAAAACAGACAACATTTCAAGATTCGTTGTGTTTCATTACTTCTGACGACTTATAATGTGTCTCGTCATAATCTTCATGTATCGGTAGATATATGTACACGTTAATAAACAAAAGACAATAACAGTTACATTCAAACACAATTTGAATAAAAGAATATCTCACATTTTTTTAAGTCAACAAGTGCAGGTAAGTGTGAAAAATAAACAATGACAAAAGCGCACATAGACACAAGGATTTGTACAAGTACAAAATAGTATGTTTATTGCAGGTTTTAATGGCACTAACAAACGTGTCATTTTTAGCTCGACTATTTGATAAGAATAAGTAGAGCTATTGTAGTCACCCGAGCGTCGGCGTCGGCGTAACCACTTATGTTAAAGTTTTTGTAATACCTCAAATATTTTCAAAGTCCATTGACATATGGCTTTGAAACTTTGCACACTTGTTCACTATCATGACCCCAACATGTAGACAGGAGGAGGTAACTCTATCAAGCATTTTGACAGAATTATGCCCCTTTTTATTATGCCCCCGCCATATAATGGCAGGGGCATATAGTGTTACCCTGTTCCGTCATTCCGTCATTCCGTCCTTCCGTCATCATCAGTTTCCGTTCATTATCTTAATAACCCTTGCACATATTGAACTCAAATTTGACATATGGATATGTCATGAGAAAATACAGGTCAAGTTCGAAATTGGTCATGGTTCGATGATTTTTGGCAGAGTTATGCCCCTCTTACATTGAAAATAATATGAAATTTTCAGTTTCCGTTCATTATCTCCCAAACGATTCAAAACATTCAATTCAAAATTGACATATGGATATGTCATGAGAAAATACAGGTTATGTTCGAAATTGGTCATGGTTCGATGTTTTTTGGTAGAGTTATGCCCCTTTTACTTTGAAAATAATATGAAATTTTCAGTTTCCGTTCATTATCTCCCCAACGGTACAACACATTCAACTCAAACTTGACATATTGATATGTCATGAGAAAATACAGGTCAAGTTCGAAATTGGTCATGGTTCGATGATTTTTGATAGAGTTATGCCCCTTTTACTTTGAAAATAATATGAAATTTTCAGTTTCCGTTCATTAACTCCCCAATGGTACAACACATTCAACTCAAACTTGACATATGGATACGTCAAAGGAATGGGCAGGTCAAGTTTAAATTTGGTCATGGTTCAATGATTTTTGGCAGAGTTATGCCCCTTTCACTTTGAAAATAATATGAAATTTTCAGTTTCCGTTCATTATCTCCCCAATTGTACAACACATTTAGCTCAAACTTGACATATCCATACGTCAAAGGAATGCGCAGGTCAAGTTCAAATTTGGTCATGGTTCGATGATTTTTGGCAGAGTTATGCCCCTTTTACTTTGAAAATAATATGAAATTTTCAGTTTCTGTTTATTATCTCCCCAACAGTATTAAACATTCAACTCAAATTTGACATATTGATACGTCAAAGGAATGCGCAGGTCAATTTCAAATTTGGTCATGGTTCGATGATTTTTGGCAGAGTTATGCCCCTTTCACTTTAAAAATAATATGAAATTTTCAGTTTCCGTTTATTATCTCCCCAACAATACTACACATTCAACTCAAATTTGACATATGGATATGTTTTTGGAATGCGCAGACCAAATTCGAAGCTGGTCATGGTTCAATGATTTTTGGCAGAGTAATGCCCCTTTCACTTTGAAAATGATATGAAATTTACAGTTTCTGTTCATTATCAACCCAACAGTGTTACATATTCAACTCAAAATTGACATATGGATATGTCAAAGGAATGCGCAGGTCAAGTTGGAATTTGGTCATGGTTCGATGATTTTTTGGCAGAGTTATGTCCCTTTCACTTTGAAAATAATATAGATACATCTTAGGAATAAGCAGTTTAAGTTTGAATTTGGTCGTGGTTCAATGATTTTAGACAAACTTATCTTTCCTGAATGTTGGAAAAATTTTGAACTTTCAGTTTCAGCACTCATACTTTTGTGGAAATGTATATAGCCATTATGTTGGCTACAAATATGCAATATGCTATTTTTAAAACTGGTTAAGACTGAATAATTTCAGTGCCTTAAACATTGTATAAAAATGGTTAAGACTGAATAATTTCAGTGCCTTGAACATTGTATAAAAATGGTTTGTGTTAACATTGAAAAGTTTTAAGGGCTTTGAACTTAGAATGAAAAAAATAATTTGTGCAAACAAATTTGGAACTAAATATTATAACATTTGAAATTTTGGCTGCATGCGGGGGCATCCATGGCATGATGACACATTTCTAGTTCCAATTAGAATTTACGTTAAAGTTTTTGTAATACCTCAAATATTTTCCAAGTCCATTTACATAATATTGGCTTTGAAACTTTGCACACTTGTTCACCATCATGACCCAAACCTATTTATAGCCATGTTTGTTGTTTTAACATTAATGTATGGATGATCAGAAGGCAGAGTTTCTCCTGCAAACAGAAATTGTACTTCCGATTTAGCCACAAAAATGTTTCAGGTTTTTATGCTTTGGTTGTCTTGACACCAAAATAAGATCTAGAGTCGATATGAAAACCAATTTATTAATAAAATGTCGCTATTTCTGTTTTTATGAAATTTATTAAATGCAGTTTTATAAGGTCTTGAAAGGATTAACAGAATTTCCACTAAGTAAATATATTTTTACAAACGTTTACTAACAGTTGCTTGTTCCTTTCTTTCTTTTTAAACAGTGACAACCACGTGGTACTGGCAGAAAGAAACAACAACAACAAAAACACTGTTGAGCAGTAAATATTCCAGTTATCGAAAATGTTACCTGAAGAAACATGTGGCTGAATATCCAGTTAAAAAGAATTATTTTATTAATCATTGTAGAAAATTGGTAACCTCAAAATACAGCTGTCAATACAGTGTGTTTTAAATCTTTTACTTGTAGATTCAATCTTCAAGTATATTTAACAATGTCTACTAGTGAGGAAAGTTTCAGATGTAAAATATGTGATCGGTTTCTTTCATCTAGTGGGGATCTTAAAAAACATATGACAATACACACTGGTGAGAGAAATTATGAATGTGCAATATGTCATCGTTCATTCACTCAAAAAGGTCATCTTAATAGACATATGAAAATACACACTGGTGAGAAGAATCATGAATGTGAAATATGTCATCATTCATTTTTTCAAAGTGGGGATCTTAAAAGGCATATGACAATACACACTGGTGAGAAAAATCATAAATGTGAAATATGTCATCATTCATTTACTCATAGTGGTCATCTTAATCAACATATGAAAATACACACTGGTGAGAAGAATCATATATGTGAAATATGTCATGGTTCATTTTCTGGAACCAGTATTCTTAAACAACATATGACAATACACACTGGTGAGAAAAATCATCAATGTGAAATATGTCATCGTTCATTTTCTCAAAGTGGTAATCTTAAAAGGCATATGACAATACACACAGGCGAGAAGAATCATAAATGTGAAATATGTCATCGTTCATTTGCTCAGAGCAGTAGTCTTAAAAAACATATGACAATACACACAGGCGAGAAGAATCATAAATGTGAAATATGTCATGGTTCATTTTCTCAGAGCAGTAGTCTTAAAAAACATATGACAATACACACTAGCGAGAAGAATCATAAATGTGAAATATGTCATGGTTCATTTTCTCAAAGTGGTCATCTTAAAAGACATATGAAAATACACACTGGTGAGAAGAATCATGAATGTGAAATATGTCATCATTCATTTTTTCAAAGTGGGGATCTTAAAAGGCATATGACAATACACACTGGTGAGAAAAATCATAAATGTGAAATATGTCATCATTCATTTTCTCATAGTGGTCATCTTAATCAACATATGAAAATACACACTTGTGAGAAGAATCATATATGTGAAATTTGTCATGGTTCTTTTTCTGGTACCAGTATTCTTAAACAACATATGACAATACACACTGGTGAGAAAAATCATCAATGTGAAATATGTCATCGTTCATTTTCTCAAAGTGGTCATCTTAAAAGGCATATGACAATACACACAGGCGAGAAGAATCATAAATGTGAAATATGTCATGGTTCATTTTCTCAGAGCAGTAGTCTTAAAAAACATATGACAATACACACAGGCGAGAAAATCATAAATAAATATGTCATGGTTCATTTTCTCAGAGCAGTAGTCTTAAAAACATATGACAATACACACAAGCGAGAAGAATCATAAATGTGAAACGGACAAAAGCCCTTCTGTGAAATAAACAACGGAGACAAAAGCCCTCCCGTAACCAAAATATATATGTATGTTACTGTGTGTTTTTAGCTCACCTGACCACGAAGTGGTCATGGTGAGGTATAGTGATGGGGCTATGTCCGGCGTCCGTCGTCTTGCGTCGTTCGTCGTCAACAATTGGGTTGTTAACAGTCTAGCAGTCTTAGTTTTGATCGGATCATCATCAAACTTTGTCAGAATGTTTGTCTCAATGAAATACAGATCGAATTCGAAGATGGGTTATCTCGGGTCAAAAACTAGGTCACAGGAGCTAAAAATAGAAAAAAGCTTGTTAACACTCTAGAGGCTGCAGTTTTCATCCAAATATTCTGGAAATTTGTCAGGAAGGTTGTTTTGATTATATCTAGGTCAAGTTCGAAGATGGGTCATCTCCGGTCAAAAACTAGGTCACAGGAGCTAAAAATAGAAAAAGCTTGTTAACACTCTAGTGGCTGCAGTTTTCAATTAAATATTCTGGAAATTTGTCAGGAAGGTTGTTTTGATGATATCTAGGTCAAGTTCGAAGATGGGTCAAGTCCGGTCAAAAACTAGGTCACAGGAGCTAAAAATAGAAAAAGCTTGTTAACACTCTAGAGGCTGCAGTTTTTATCCAAATATTCTTGAAATTTGTCAGGAAGGTTGTTATGATGATATCTATGTCAAGTTCGAAGATGGGTCATCTCCGGTCAAAAACTAGGTCACAGGAGCTGAAAAATAGAAAAAGCTTGTTAACACTCTACTGGCTGCAGTTTTCATCCAAATATTCTGGAAATTTGTCAGGAAGGATTTTTTGATGATATCTAGGTCAAGTTCGAAGATGGGTCATGTCCGGTCAAAAACAAGGTCACAGGAGCTAAAAATAGAAAAAGCTTGTTAACACTCTAGTGACTGCAGTTTTCATCCAAATATTCTGGAAATTTGTCAGGAAAGTTGTTTTGATGATTTCTAGGTCAAGTTCGAAGATGGGTCATCTTCGGTCAAAAACTAGGTCACAGGAGCTAAAAATAGAAAAAGCTTGTTAACACTCTAGAGGCTGCAGTTTTTATCCACATATTCTTGAAATTTGTCAGGAAGGTTGTTTTGATGATATCTAGGTCAAGTTCGAAAATGGGTCATTTCCGGTCAAAAACTAGGTCACAGGAGCTAAAAATAGAAAAAGCTGGTTAACACTCTAGTGGCTGCAGTTTTGATCCAAATATTCTGGAACTTTGTCAGGAAGGTGGTTTTGATGATATCTAGGTAAAGTTCGAAGATGGGTTATGTCCGGTCAAAAACTAGGTCACAGGAGCTATAAATAGAAAAAGCTTATTAACACTCTAGTGGCTGCAGTTTTCATCCAAATATTCTGGAAATTTGTCAGGAAAGTTGTTTTGATTATTTCTAGGTCAAGTTCGAAGATGGGTCATGTCCGGTCGATAACTAGGTCACAGGAGCTAAAAATAGAAAAAGCTTGTTAACACTCTAGGGGCTGCAGTTTTCCAAATATTCTGGAAATTTGTCAGGAAGGTTGTTTAGATGATATCTAGGTCAAGATTGAAGATAGGTCACCTCCGGTCAAAAACTAGGTCACAGGAGCTAAAAATAGAAAAAGCTTGTTAACAATCTAGTGGCTCGGTTTTCATCCAAGTATTCTGGAAATTAATCAGGAAAGTTGTTTTGATGATTTCTAGGTCAAGTTCGAAGATTGGTCATCTCCGGTCAAAAACTAGGTCACAGGAGCTCAATATAGAAAAAGCTTGTTAACACTCTGGTGGCTGCACTTTTCATTTAAACATTCTGGAAATTTGTCAGGAAGGTTGTTTTGGTGATTTCTAGGTCAAGTTTGAATATGGGTCGTGTCCGGTCAAAAATTAGGTCACATTGCCCAAATATGGAAAAATCTTTATAACACATTAGAGGTCACATGTTTGACTCAGTTGTCATCAAACTTGGCCATGATGCTTGTTTAAGACATTGCTTGGATGCGGTTGTGTCAGGTGAGCGATCTAGGGCCATCATGGCCCTCTTGTTTAATTAATACACTCAACATATTTGTAATATATAGACTCGTTATTGGTTCAGCTAGTTTGCCTAGCTGATAACCCCGGCAAAATTTCCCCCCCTGGCATCCCCTCACTTAAACCCATTAAAAAAAAGATTTAAAACCACGACGGTTTTTAAATCTTCTTCCATGTTTTCCCAGTAATATGAATGAAAGCCATTAAATTTAAAAATTGGGTAATATTTTTTTGGGTAGTTTTTTGGTTGTTTTCAATTAAACCTAAATTATTTTACAGTCGTTTAAAAACCCCAATCTTTTTTTATATTTCAAAAACAAATAAAGAACCCAACGGTTTTACACAAATTATATACGGTACTAAAAAACTATTTTGATATTTTTTGAATTTTAATATTAATGTCTTCTGTTTTGCGTAAGGTCTGAAGATTTACCATATTAATAATTAGGGGCAATTTATTGTAAATATTACTCTTTATACTACATATTTTTGTTATTTTTCCCAATGTTTTGCAACATACTTTGAAAATATTTGGACAAATCTGCTGTCCAGTAAACAGATAAACACATGGGAGTTAATATGTGCATGTTAATCATGTATTTATCATTAATATTTTGTATGATATCATAAATGCCATTTTCTTATATGATGTAGCTAAACTTCCGGAACTTGTTGTGAATAAACGTTATTTCTTCACAAATTATGTCTATATACGTATGTTACTACAGACTGTGAAAAAATGTGTCAGTAGAACACAAACATAAAATCCATGAAAAGCGAAGTTCTAAACAGAATTACAAGATACTATTTACTTTTTTGCTTCCAAGGGAGACAACTCCACATACCATTCATGTATCTCAGCAGTTTACTGTTTTATGCACTTAGGAATTGTATCTCCTAGCTACACAAATTTCATATGATCATTAACATTCATTAAAGGTTATGTTATAATTTTGCAGAAATAACGTCAATCTATTGACACTACTACATTTTTTTTTCTTATAGAAGTTAACATTGTGGTATTAAATGGGACACAATGAATAGAAACAATACTAAATTGTTTAAATGTGTAAATTATATCATTTAACATTGGAAAGTATGTCATTTGTTATACTTTAAACTTCACATTCTCAAAATGTTACCAACAACTTAAAAAAAAATTGTATTCTTAAACAAAATTTACATGAAGATCTGTTTTATCCAGACATTTATAAAACCATATCCTGTCAAATAATTTCTAGGTCTGTTTTCACTATGAAACTTTACACTGTTCAATTAAACCATTCTAAGACTATTTAAACTATAAAATATTATTTACCATTTGAAATAGTATGTAACAATGTTTGATATTTGTAAGAGACCATGGTCTTAGTGTAGCTAAAACATTTGTCTAAAAAACTACATTCCAGTAAAAACATTTATCTGGTTGTTACACTTATTAAAATTTTGTCTCGGTAAAATATCATTTTTAAACAGCCTTCCCATATGTACACCACAGACAGTAACTGTAACCATAATTGTTATTAGAGTGTAGGACAAAAGCCCTCCCGGACAAAAGCCCTCCCGTCAAAAAGTGACAAGGCGGACAAAAGCCCTCCCGTGAAAATGACAGGGTGGAAAAAAGCCCCCCCCCATGAAAATGACAAGGCGGACAAAAGCCATCCCGTAAAAATGACTTGGCGGACAAAAGCCCTCCCGTGAAAATAATATGGCGGACAAAAGCCCTCCCGCAGCAAATACATATATGTACATTGAATAGTTTATATTTTCTTTTCAATGCACTCAACATATTAAAAAGTAATCATGAATATTTTGTTTTCCATTGGCATAACCGTGTTTGTATGAGCTTGAGCACATTCCTGAGAGGCATCTGAATAATTAGTGCTAAAATCAGTAAGTGCATATTTATTCACGTAGATATGAAGGATTACACCTATGTGAAGTTAATATTAATAGAGTAATAAATGATAAAAAGAAGTTAAAATTATCTAACTTAAAAGTATAAGACATTTATAATGTTCCTTGCAATGAGTCATTTACTTTCAAAAGTGGCTTTGTTTTTAACGACATTCGTGTAAAAAGTTACCTCGTTAAACATTTCAGGAAGGTATACTCAGAATAAAAGGTGGTTCTAGTCCATACACATACTAAGGCCAATTGAAAACAACAAGAAATATATGTAACAATTTTAATATGTTGAGTGCAATGAAAAAACACAAGTATTCAACATACATATTTATTTTTGTTACGGGAGGGCTTTTGTCCGCCTTGTCATTTTGACGGGAGGGCTTTTGTCCGCCCTGATAATATCACGGGAGGGCTTTTGTCTGCCCTGTCATTTTCACGGGAGGGCTTTTGTCCGCCCTGTCATTTTCACGGGAGGGCTTTTGTCCGCTTTGTCATTTTTTGACGGGAGGGCTTTTGTCCGGGAGGGCTTTTGTCCGTTTCCCTTGTTATATTATCATGGTTTTACTTGTGTCCAGAATATGTAATTGTTATTATCATGGTTTTACTTGTGTCCAAAATATGTAATTGTTATAATAATGGTTTAACTTGTGTCCAAAATATGTAATTGTTATTATCATGCTTTACTCATGTTCAAAATATGTAATTGTTATTATCATGGTTTTACTTGTGTCCAAAATATGTAATTGTTATTATCATGGTTTTACTTGTGTCCAAAATATGTAATTGTTATTATCATGGTTTTACTTGTGTCCAAAATATGTAATTGTTATTATCATCTTCTTGTCATCTTCTAAATATGTATTGTTTTGTCTTGTGCAGCCGTTATACTACATGTATTGGCTATGAACATTGTATTTATGTTAAAACAAAATAAACATAGAATTGAATATAGAAGTTGTACATTGTATATGTTTGTTTATTTGCTCATAAGGATAATTCTGTAAACAACATATTAGTATCCATTCCTATGAAATAACCTTGAATTTTTCACAATAACTGTAAACTTTACACATAAATGTTTTATCATGTCCTGGTAATAATAATTAATTGATTTAAAGAGTGTACACATTAATTCCTTCTATTCAAATTTGATTACAGTAGAACCCATACTTAAGACCATCCTTGATTTTTAAGACCACCCCTCTTTTAAGAACAATTCTTATAAGAATGGAATTTTTTGTTCTTTATTTATTAAGCAGCACGCTTCCAGATTCATGTTAAATTTCATGAAATTTAGATAATGTATTTGACAGTAAAATATTGTAAGGTGAACAAGTAAAATTATTTACATATTGCAATTGGTACTTACAATCCATGCAAATAACCAAAAAGAGGTAAAAATGTGCAAAAAAAAAAACACCTTAATTAAATTACTGCATTAGTAACAAAGTAGAAATATGGTGATAAAATACTGCAAAATCAGTCTTAAATCGCAAATACCATGTAAATTTCAACATTGATCTTGCTTGTTTTTCCATTTCTTGAAATATTAGTAAATTTTTCTCAATTTTCATTTTCTTGAAATATTTTGGCTCATCTGGAGGCGTGCAGCTTTAAATGATAACAAGATCTACATTTAAGACCACCTAACTTTTCCACTTTTAAGACCACCAGTTTCAGTCCCAACCCCACTATTGTGACCGATAAGCAAGTTGTTCTTTTACGCGTAGTTGTACATGTAGTCTAAAAAGACATAGGACTTAATTACACAGCAGTGAGAAGAATTATAAATGTGAGATTTGTGATCGTGCATTTGCATGGAAAAACAGTCGTAAAGGACATATGACTATACACACTGGTGAGAGCAATAATAAATGTGATATATGTAGTTTTTCCTTTGCACAGTTTAGTAGACTTAAAGCACACATGGCAGAAGTACACTCTGGTATGGGAAAAATGTGACCATGTAACTTTTCCAAAGAAATAATCTTGTAAAGCATATGAAAACCCACTATGGTAAGAAAATTTTTAGCAGTAAAATATGTCATAAATCATTTGCATATAGGAGTTATTTTTTTTAAAAAGCATAATATTTGTGGCAGTTCACACTAGTGAGAAGACTACATGTGATAGGTCAATTGTAGACAAAGGTAACCTCATAAAACACACACATCAAAACATTACTCTGATTTTATTGACCTGTCAATATAGGACTCATTTAAATATTCGATCCCACTTCGGTTTGGTCCGTGTAGTTTACGAGAATTAATGTGGAGTGAATTGGATGGATTGAAAGTCACGCCAGCTTAATGTGAAAGTTTTCGTTAATTCACAATAGTGAATTGACTTGAACACTTGGGTCTATGTAGACATTCATTTATTAGATTTGATTTTGCCTTTTGTCATGACCTTAAATGAGGCCTTTTTATATGGTGATGACATTGTAATTTAAGGTCAAGGTCAATATGGTTTTAACATAAAAATGCTTGTTCACCTATAATTAAAGAATGCTTAGACTTGCAGCGTTACAATATGGTATTGAGCTGCTACTGCTTGACATGACCACATGTGGGACTCGACAGACAAGTGTAAAAATGATTCTAGAAAAAATTCCGATTAAGATATTTCCTTCTACCATATAATACCTTTAAGCTAATACATAATAATATAAATATAACCCTTCTGATTGTTTAAAATAAAAATAATTCTTCAATTTTGACTTGACTTGCGTTGTCAAATGCTCCTAAATTTTGATTCTTTGACGAGTTAGGTGATATCAGAAATGATTTTGTGCTATGTCTCAATTGATGAAAATCCTTAAATATACGACATGTTTAGGATGATATCGATATCAAAAGATTAAAAAAAAATGAAATGGCAATGTTAAATTTGAAAAAATGCACGGTCCGCCTCGTCTCGAGTCATGGTTCGCCCTGTCCCAAAATACAGTCCGCCCCGTCTAGACTTACAGTCGATCCGCCCCAGTTCTGGTGAAAGGTTAATTCACGGTGCATATCCATATCGGTACCCTCTTTGCGAAATCTGCTGAAACGGTACCCTCTTTGTACATGCACAGGCCATTCTCTGCTCAAAACAAACCAGCGATGGATAACAAGCCAGTAAAAATTCATTGTAATAAGGAAAGGAGGTATGACACGTGGAAAAGATGTATACAACGGAACACTAGAATGTTTTATCTATGTGCTGATTTGTCATGTGCCCGTTTTTCATGAACTGCAACTTCACAATAACCTACAAAAAATCAACATGTCTTGCATCGCTCATCACCTCGACATACTTTTCGGCTGAAATGAACCTGTGGCTTGGTTATACATTCATCATACATATCTAATAATTATGTTCATTCTGGGATGTATGTTCCAGGTTCATTTACATATCATCTCCGGACAAAATGCAGTACATTGTCAAAAATAATGGTAAAATTCATAAAAAACACCCTACTTTCAGTTTTGCAGCGGCACGGGCTACCTCTCTTCATTTGAATTTTTATATCACAGGTACCCTCTCATTTTTTAACACATAGGTATACTCAATGCACGGCATATGCTTTTATCTGCGTTAATCGTTAAACTTGTACGTAATATTAACATAAATAAAGAAATATTACATTCCTAACGATTAACGCAAATAAAAGTATATGTCGTGTTATCCATCGCTGGTTAAAGTGTTTTTAGCAGAGTGGCCTGTGCATTAGCCTGGGATTCAGGCGTTGATATTTTTTGCTAATTCATAACATACGCGCATCATATTCGATCGTCATAGATAACACATTATCTCTGGTTTTGATAGTATCAACCGGTGCCTTTTGGGAGACTTGATTGTTCTGGGGACTGCGTTCTGTGAACGTTTCCATGCCTTGTTGATCCTTATTCTATTTTTTTATTTGTTTGTTTATTTATTTTTTTTTTAAGGGTGCTAGTACGGAAGCTTGTTCTTAATACTACCGTTCATGAACAGAAGCACATAACAAATCGCCAGACTGGAACCCAGGCTACCTGTGCATGTGCAAAGAGGGTACCGTTTTAGCAGATTTTGCAAAAGAGTCGGTACCGATATGGATATTGCTTCGTGTAATTGTGTCTCCAAACTGGAACCAAGAGACTGTATTGGACGATTTCCAGCATAAGATTGCCCCTTGTAATAATCAAGGATAGCATGACATAACGCATGAATATCTCCTGTTTTTATGTTTTTTTTTATTTGGGTGTAGATGCCAGGGGTTACGAGGTGTTGATATTATATGGTTTATTTCTAAGACTGTTAAAATATGAAGTCAATTAAAATTGGTCCAGTACACTAAGTAGGCGTAAGCCTAAACAATCAATAGCCAATATATATTAAATGCGTTTTTGGATTAAATATGAAACAAATAAATTTAATATGGATTAAATATGAAAAGGGTGATTGTCCTTGCCTTTTCCTCCCTGTGAGAAAAACCCGCCTGTCTTCCGGAACAGATGCTGGACCACGCTATGGAGGTTGCTTGACCAATATTGGCTGTGTGGAGAGGACATGGATCAACGTTACGGTTGTTGGTGGCATCCAATTCACTGGAGTGTATTGATGTTTTCTTTTTTTACATTATACAAGGGAAATCAATTTAAACAGGGATTTATTTTTGAAATTAGTGACGTTGTACATAGGTTTACTAAATCAACTTTAAAATTTTACATTTGTTCCAACAGTAATCATTACAGAATGACACAGAAGGATCAACACCCGCAGGACGTGCGGACTTGCATGGGATTATACATGTTACTACCTTTACTGAAAAGGGAGGCCCGGCTTGTGGATCTTCAAATTCGTATCGTTTCTCAGAATCTTTTGACAAGACATAATCTTAAAAGATATGAAGAAAGTCCATGAAGCCTTATTCTAAGCCTGGGACAAGTACGAAGATGATGAGATGACTACTCTACTTCCCAACTACTGAAATTATGTAGTCACAATTTAACTACGAGATATATGAGGACTTTTTTAAAGATTTATATAGAGTGATGAATAATTAAAGAATAAAGAGAGATTATTGTTGTTTATTACGTAAAAATCATGGTGTATCCTCTTTAATACTATACATGTGTCAATTGTTTATATACATGTAGAGATGAATAAAGTTTTTAAAAAGATGAGTTATTAATTACGTGTACAAAATCACTTTGTATATATATTTTTATTATAGAAAACAAAGTTAATTCTTTCCCATACAAATTTTATTTTTCTTTGTATATAATATGTCGATTTTATTCCGATTAATAACATTGTTTCTTCTTTTTTTAGCATTTACCATTTGTATAGTTTGACATAATAAATTAATAAAAAATGTTTTCATATTGTACAGGTTTTACTTAATGTGTAATATATAAGATTAGTTTGCCTAACCGGTAGTTCGACGAAACCACTCTCATTCCTGTCTTCCATAACTTTATAGTCTCTGTTGATGCCGTTTTGGTGGTTTTGGTACGAATCGGTTATGTATGAATCATATTTAGTTTAGACATGTACGTCAATGCCCCAGAGTGGGTTATGTACAGTATTGAAAGAAGAAGAAGAAGATTGACTCCCTTTGAAAATTTGCACCATTTGTAACGATTGTTGGGAAGAAGAGTTTTTTAGTCTTAAATATTGACAAAAAGGTTTGTAATACAGAATTGTTGTCTATTTTATTGTCTTTTGATAACATTTGTCTGTGAAGTATTGTATTGCTGCTTTTTGAACCAATTTGTTTGATATTTTAGGTCTCATAATTGACCTTTCGAAAACCTAGCTAAACACCGTTTTCCGGTACGTTACGATTTAGCTCTGGGGAATTACACCCAAATGAAGTTAAAAGTACATATCACCACAGGCGGCAGTATCAGTGTTTGGACACCCCATCCCTATCTGCCCCTGGACCCCTACTACAACCCTGAAAAAAAATTCAACACTCTAAGGCTTACTATAAGGTACCAAATACAAAACCACCGATGAAATTATATATATAAAAAATTTTTTCCACTATCAAAATTATAGTTATAGAAAGGTGTAAAGCCTACTATATGTCCATCTGCCAAACAATGTCACGCATACATGTGACATCCCGGCGGGATTTCAAAAAATCCCGATATTTCAACACTGATCCCGATTCCCGATATTACAGCTTGAATTCCCGATATTTAAAAAAAAAATCAACATAAAAAAAATCAAACACGGCACCTGTATCTAAAATGTAAACCGTGCCTCCGGGCATTGATTGTTATCTGTCCATATCCTAAATTATAGCGGATTAAATGTTGAGTCGCTAATTGACAGCAAGGTGACGTAATAAACAGTTCCAATACCCAAAGTTATTCTCACATGTTTAACTTATCACGTGTCGTGTGTCAGTCAATTGACCTCTTTTGTAATTTGGCAGTAGGTATTACACACTACGTCATCAAAACTACCCTGTAAATTTACATGTATGAATTCGGCTCAACCTTTGATTTTCTTTGATTAGTGCCGCACTGATAAAGATAAAAGGTGAGCAGAATCATTTAAAGTGGATCATTCAAAAACCTGTTCGAGATGTCTAATTAACCTATTTTTAGTGAGTGGGTAATTTTTTGTTTTGTTTAGGAATTACACAATCATCGAGGCAAAAATGTGGATTTAATTAACGGAACGATTCTTGCATTTATTTTGAGTCTTCTACTTATGTTACGTTATTTAACTGTCATAGTCTTATGTTCATGAATAGTTGTTGCATGTTTTCAAATAGCTTGTGTTTAATTATTGAATGACTGAAAAGACATATAATTCTTCAAACTGAAAATAATGAAATGTGAAAGTGTGACTGTTTTAGAAATAGCCTGTATGACTACACTTATCTATTTATCTATTTATTTTTTTATTTTTTTGTGAAATAAATTAATATTGATCAATAAAAAAATCATAAAAAAGTATAATCATTTAAGGATTTTGAGGGTAATATAGATTCTTTGAACCAAATGTTCCAAACACGCATTGAAATTCGAGTCGATAAAAAAATCCAGTTTTGAGCCTCAAAATCCAGCTGAAAATCCAGATTTGGCCCATTTCATTTGTCACATGTATGAATGTGGAACACGAAAATCGTCGTTTCGGCGACTGAGGCGCATTCCGGCGGGATTTCGCTGCATCATTCATTTATATCAATAAAAAGAACTTGAATTCCACAGCTTACTTAATTCAAGTCCAACGAATATTACTATCATTCCGATTTTTTCTGTTTCACGGTATTTTTTGAATTGTGGTAGCCATTTTGCAGTCTGATACCTGGGTTGAAATACACGATCTGATTGGACGAGCCAAATTGGACGTCCAATCAGATCGCGTATAACACACAGGTATCAGAATCCAAAATGGCAACGACAAGTCAAAAATTACCATGAAATCAAAAAAATCGATAGAATATTGATATTCATTGGACTTGAATTAACAAGGGGCAGGACGTGAAGTGGTTGCACACTTGGTTCAAGCGAGCGAATTGGTTGCAAACTTGACAAAATGGCGAAAACGGCGTGAATTTTTGAAACGGGTTAACGAATTTTTGCCAGGCAAGTGGGTTTCTTTGTTATTTTGAAGTTCATTAGTATGTCTATTCCATAATGCAATATATATGCCACACTCGGTTAAAGGTTTCAGCATCCTAGATTCTGTTTTGACGAAGTTATTGAAGATATAAACTGATCATGTAGATTTTTTGAAATTTGACATGACTGTTCTGGCCGGGTTTTCTCCTAATTTATTTAAATTTTGAAGTTTTAAACTGCATTTAACAATAACAAAACATGTTTCTGTCAATGCTGTACAAACGGTTTAGTTCGCAAGTCCGAAGATAACGTTCAATACACAAAAATATCTTGTTCAAGCACATTTTGGTTGCAGACTTATACTTCAAGCATTGTTGGTTGCAAACTATTGTGTCAATAATGTGGCATGCATATTTTTAGCGAGGAATAACTTATCATTTTTTTTTAAATAATTAGCAATATTATGGCAATTATACCGGTTCATCTAATAAGAAATATATATAAAAATTGTGCATGCTTGCAGATATATCCTAACACAGGGTCTTTCAAATAGATATATAACACAATACAATGTATGCTAAATTAAAGTTCAGTTGTGTTTATCTTCATCAATTTTTCTCCTCGATATACTCCTTTTCTTTTTACAAAGTCTTAGGACTTTTTTATATCTTTGCATGACTAACTGTAAAGGAAAAGAAGAAAAATAGCAACAAACAGCTTTCATTATTGTTCTTTTTTGAGATTTGAAATGAAATTGATTATATAGTATATAAAAACTATATTAACATTGACACAAGGGCATTATTCACATGTTTCTTTAAATTGTTCCTTATTATTGACCAATCGAAATTTTTTCCAAATTCCTTAACTCGAACAATGACTTTAAGTAGTTTTGTCACATAACAGTTAATGTAAATAACCAATCGTATATCATTTATATTATGATCTAATAATCAAAATCATCTTTAGAATACCAATGGACATATGATGTACATCAAATCCGAAATATTGTAAACAAGCATGTACGTCATTTTAACTTTTGGTTTGTAAAAACATTTTAAGTACATGTCTAAAGCAACTGCTGATCTTTACATACGAAACAAACAAATTAAAATTTCTTGTGGTAAACTTTGGAAATTTTTCCGAATAACATCGTATGTGTGCACATGTCCTTATGTTTATGATGAAAATGATTCACTTAAATACAACAGTACTCTCACATGTATACGTTTGTTTTGTATGTAGTTTTCATTTGCATTTTACATATGATGACATATTTTAGAATTGAAGTATCAATAAATATTTTTCTATATGCTATTATTTTGTTTGCAGGCTTTTACTGATGATTATAGTATTGAACTGAGAACCATGTAATTTGAAACATAAAGTGCATAATTGTTGTAAAAGAAGAAAGTATAAATAACATTTATAACAAAAAGAAGTAACAGAACATAAATGTCAATAATTGCCATTGAAAATAGGTTAATAGATATAACGTTCTACACTCCTTTTGCAAAGTTTTACTATGGATTTCAATAGAATAAGAATAAGTTTGCAACCAAAAATGCTTGAAGTATAAGTCTGCAACCAAAATGTGCTTGAACAAGATATTTTTGTGTATTGAACGTTACAAAACTATATTGAATTATGGAATAGACATACTAATGAACTTCAAAATAACAAAGAAACCCACTTGCCTGGCAAACATTCGTTCACCTGTTTCAAAAATTCACGCCGTTTTCGCCATTTTGTCAAGTTTGCAACCAATTCGCTCGCTTGAACCAAGTGTGCAACCACTTCACGTCCTGCCCTTGATTAAGTAAGCTGTGGAATTCAAGTTCTTTATATATATATATATATATTATATATATATATATATATATATATATATATATATATATATATATATATATATATATATATATATATAATCGGCATTTTCTACGCCTGTTAAATATTAATTTTAAGGGATTTAAAGGGGGATTTTTTGAGGTTTTAGGGGGAAAAAAACACACTTTTTTGGTGGGGGAATGGGGCCGATATTCGGCCCCAAAAATTTACCAAACAAGAGCCCTGCTATTATGTGTTATTTCCATTTTTCTACCATTATTTACCATTTACGGTGGAAAAACTTGATGTGTTTGAAATTTATTAGTGACCTGTACTATCTTTCGCAAATTTTTACAAAAAAAAATAAATAAATAAATAAAATATCTATAGTATGATAAAATTCTGTAGAATTAAAACAGTCGTTGTTGTATCTGCCATAATAGATAGAGATATTTTCTGCAGAAACTTTTGTATTTACTTTTTTGTTTGTATTGAATTATTCATACAGTGGTATTTAACCAGGTTTTCAACGAAAACAGGGTTATTGTAATGCTGAAGTCGGCGGGCGGGCGGGTGTACAGGCCGGCGGGCGGGCATGCACCAACTTTTGGTTTCCGCTCAATAACTTTAGTTTGCTTTGGTCTATTGACACCAAACTTGGTGTGTAGGTAGCTTATGTCAATAGGCAGCTTGGAATTGCTACCCAGGTGTCTGTGATCAAGGTCAAAGTCACTGTTACTAAAAATAGAAATTCAGTTTCTGCTTAATAACTTGAGTTTGCTTTGGTCTAATGACACCAAACTTGGTGTATGAATAGCTTATATCAAGAGGCAGCTTTGGATTGCTACCCAGGTGTCCGTTATCAAGGTCAAGGTCACTATTTCTGCTCAGTAACTTGAGTTTCCTTTGGCCTATTGACACCAAACTTGGTGAATGGATAGGTTATATCAAGAGGCAGCTTGGGATTGCTATCCAGGTGTATGTGATCAAGGTCAAGGTCACTATTACTAAAAAAAGAACACAGTTTCTGCTTAATAACTTGAGTTTGCTTTGGCCTAATGACACCAAACTTGATGAATGGGTAGCTTATATCAAGAGGCAGCTTGGGATTGCTACCCAGGTGTCTGTGATCAAGGTTAATGTACATGTATTTAGTTTTCATGTTTTACTTGTTGTACAAGTGCAAAATAGTATGTTTATTGCAGGTTTTAATGGCACTAACAAACGTGTCATTTTTAGCTCGACTATTTGATAAGAATAAGTAGAGCTATTGTAGTCACCCGAGCGTCGGCGTCGGCGTAACCACTTATGTTAAAGTTTTTGTAATACCTCAAATATTTTCAAAGTCCATTGACATATGGCTTTGAAACTTTGCACACTTGTTCACTATCATGACCCCAACCTGTAGACAGGAGGAGGTAACTCTATCAAGCATTTTGACAGAATTATGCCCCTTTTTCCAATTAGAATTTATGTTAAAGTTTTTGTAATACCTCAAATATTTTCCAAGTCCATTGACATAATATTGGCTTTGAAACTTTGCACACTTGTTCACCATCATGACCCAAACCTATTTATAGCCATGTTTGTTGTTTTAACATTATGTATGGATGATCAGAAGGCAGAGTTTCTCATGCAAACAGAAATTGTACTTCCGATTTAGCCACAAAAATATTTCAGGTTTTTATGCTTTGGTTGTCGTGACACCAAAATAAGATCTAGAGTCGATATGAAAACCAATTTATTAATGAAATGTCGCTATTTCTGCTTTTATGAAATTTATTAAATGCAGTTTTATAAGGTCTTGAAAGGATTAACAGAATTTCCACTAAGTAAATATATTTTTACAAACGTTTACTAACAGTTGCTTCAAGTTCCTTTCTTTCTTTTTAAACAGTGACAACCACAATTGGTACTGGCAGAAAACAACAACAACAACAAAAACACTGTAGAGCAGTAAATATTCCAGTATTCGAAAATGTTACCTGAAGAAACATGTGGCTGAATATCCAGTTAAAAAGAATTATTTTATTAATCATTGTAGAAAATTGGTAACCTCAAAATACAGCTGTCAATACAGTGTGTTTTAAATCTTTTACTTGTAGATTCAATATTCAAGTATATTTAACAATGTCTACTAGTGAGGAAAGTTTCAGATGTAAAATATGTGATCGGTTTCTTTCATCTAGTGGTAATCTTAAAAAACATATGAAAATACACACTGGTGAGAGAAATTATGAATGTGCAATATGTCGCTGTCTATTCACACAAAATGGTCATCTTAAAAGACATATGAAAATACACACTGGTGAGAAGAATCATGAATGTGAAATATGTCATCGTTCATTTTCTAATAGTGGTCATCTTAATCAACATATGAAAATACACACTGGTGAGAAGAATCATGAATGTGAAATATGTCATCGTTCATTTTTTCAAAGTGGGGATCTTAAAAAACATATGACAATACACACTGGTGAGAAGAATCATGAATGTGAAATATGTCATCGTTCATTTTCTCTAACAAGTATATTAAAACAACATATGACAATACACACTGGTGAGAAGAATCATGAATGTGAAATATGTCATCATTCATTTTCTCAAAGTGGTAATCTTAAAAGGCATATGACAATACACACTGGCGAGAAGAATCATCAATGTGAAACATGTCATCGTTCATTTTTTCAAAGTGGGGATCTTAAAAGGCATATGACAATACACACTGGTGAGAAGAATCATGAATGTGAAATATGTCATCATTCATTTTCTCGTAGTGGCCATCTTAATCAACATATGAAAATACACACTGGTGAGAAGAACCATGAATGTGAAATATGTCATCGTTCATTTTTTCAAAGTGGGGATCTTAAAAAACATATGACAATACACACTGGTGAGAAGAATCATGAATGTGAAATATGTCATCGTTCATTTTCTCTAACAAGTATATTAAAACAACATATGACAATACACACTGGTGAGAAGAATCATAAATGTGAAATATGTCATCATTCATTTTCTCAAAGAAGTAATCTTAAAAGGCATATGACAATACACACTGGTGAGAAGAATCATGAATGTGAAATATGTCATCGTTCATTTTCTCGAACCAGTATATTTAAACAACGTATGACAATACACACTGGTGAGAAGAATCATAAATGTGAAATATGTCATTGATCCTTTTCTCAAAGTGGTCATCTTAAACAACATATGAAAATACACACTGGTGAGAAGAATCATATATGTGAAATATGTCATGGTTCATTTTCTGGAACCAGTATTCTTAAACAACATATGACAATACACACTGGTGAGAAGAATCATCAATGTGAAATATGTCATCGTTCATTTTCTCAAAGTGGTCATCTTAAAAGGCATATGACAATACACACAGGCGAGAAGAATCATAAATGTGAAATATGTCATGGTTCATTTTCTCAGAGCAGTAGTCTTAAAAACATCTGACAATACACACTAGCGAGAAGAATCATAAATGTGAAACGGACAAAAGCCCTCCTGTGAAATAAACAAGGGAGACAAAAGCCCTCCCGTAACCAAAATATATATGTATGTTACTGTGTGTTTTTTTTAATACACTCAACATATAAAAATTGTAATATATATTTGTAGTTGTTGTTTTCAATTGATATATATTATATATGTGTCAGCTCATCTAGAACCACCTTCTTTTCAGAATATACCTTTCTGAAACAATAAAAAAACAACAGTTTACACAAATTATATATTGTACTAAAAAACTATTTTGATATTTTTTGAATTTTAATATTACTGTCTTCTGTTTTGCGTAAGGTCTGAAGATTTACCATATAGATAATTAGGGGCAATTTATTGTAAATATTACTTTTTATACTACATATTTTTGTTATTTTTCCCAATGTTTTGCAACATACTTTGAAAATATTTGGACAAATCTGCTGTCCAGTAAACAGATAAACACATGGGAGTTAATATGTGCATGTTAATCATGTATTTATCATTAATATTTTGTATGATATCATAAATGCCATTTTCTTATATGATGTAGCTAAACTTCCGGAACTTGTTGTGAATAAACGTTATTTCTTCACAAATTATGTCTATATACGTATGTTACTACAGACTGTGAAAAAATGTGTCAGTAGAACACAAACATAAAATCCATGAAAAGCCAAGTTCTAAACAGAATTACAAGATACCATTTACTTTTTGCTTCCAAGGGAGACAACTCCACAGACCATACATGTATCTCAGCAGTTTACTGTTTTATGCACTTAGGAATTGTATCTCCTAGCTACACAAATTTCATATGATCATTAACATTCATTAAAAGGTTATGTTATAATTTTGCAGAAATAACGTCAATTTATTGACACTACTACATTTTTTTTTCTTATAGAAGTTTACATTGTGGTATGGGACACAATGAATAAAAACAATACTAAAATGTTTAAATGTGTAAATTATATCATTTAACATTGGAAAGTATGTCATTTGTTATACTTTAAACTTCACATTCTCAAAATGTTACCAACGACTTAAAAAAAATTTGTATTCTTAAACAAAATTTACATGAAGATCTGTTTTATCCATTCAATACATTGGTTTAGTCAATGGATGTCTTATACAGACCCAACAGATAGTGGTCCAATATATAATGTATATATGGTAGTTCATACTACTTACCGTAATATCCCTATTAAATGCCCCGGGGGCTTAACATTTTCCAAAAGGGGGGGGGGGCTATTATTACAACACGTTTTTCCTAAATCCAAAAATCATTGAAAATACATTTAGTGTACCGTAACATGGGTTGGTAATAACATTAAAATGTGTTAAGATTTTAATGTTAATGTGATACATTTTTGTGTTTACTATGAAATAAAATGGATTCTGAAGGATTTGAATAAAATTACGGATTTATTAAAGACTTCACCACTCATGAGCAGATTTTTTTCCATATCAAAAAGCCTGGGGGGGGGGGGGGCTTTTATTAGGGGAGGATCGTTTGATAGGAATTTTACGGTAAGTCATTTAATGACATTTATAAAACCATATCCTGTCAAATAATTCCTAGGTCTGTTTTCACTATGAAACTTTACACTGTCCAATTAAATCATTCTAAGACTATTTAAACTATAAAATATTATTTACCATTGAAATAGTATGTAACAATTAATGTTTGATATTTGTAAGAGACCATGGTCTTTAATTTAATTAGTGTAGCTAAAACATTTGTCTAAAAAACTACATTCCAGTAAAAACATTTATCTGTTTGTTAAACTTATTAAAATTTTGTCTCAGTAAAATATCATTTTTAAACAGCCTTCCCATATGTACACCACAGACAGTAACTGTAACCATAATTGTTATTAGTGTGTAGGACAAAAGCCCTCCCGGACAAAAGCGCTCCCGTCAAAAAGTGACAAGGCGGACAAAAGCCCTCCCGTGAAAATGACAGGGCGGACAAAAGCCCTCCCGTGAAAATGACTGGGCGGACAAAAGCCCTCCCGTAAAAATGACTTGGCGGACAAAAGCCCTCCCGTGAAAATAATAGGGCGGACAAAAGCCCTCCCGCAGCAAATACATATATGTACATTGAATAGTTTTTTTTTTTTCAATGCACTCAACATATTAAAATTGTAATCATGAGTATTTTGTTTTCCATCGACATAACCGTGTTTGTATGAGCTTGAGCACATTCCTGAGAGGCATTTGAATAATTAGTGCTAAAATCAGTAAGTGCATATTTATTCACGTAGATATGAAGGATTACACCTATGTGAAGTTAATATTAATAGAGTAATAAATGATAAAAAGAACTTAAAATTATCTAACTTAAAAGTAAAAGACATTTATAATGTACCTTGCAATGAGTCAATTACTTTCAAAAGTGGCTTTGTTTTTAACGACATTCGTGTAAAAAGTTACCTCGTTAAACATTTCAGGAAGGTATATTAATTCAGAATAAAAGGTGGTTCTAGTCCATACACATACTAAGGCCAATTGAAACAAGAAATATATGTAACAATTTTAATATGTTGAGTGCAACACAGGTTTCAACTTATTTGTTTTTGTTATGGGAGAGCTTTTGTCCGCCTTGTCATTTTCACGGGAGGGCTTTTGTCCGCCCTGTCATTTTCACGGGAGGGCTTTTGTCCGCCCTGTCATTTTCATGGGAGGGCTTTTGTCCGCCCTGTCATTTTCATGGGAGGGCTTTTGTCCGTCTTGCCATTTATTGACGGGATGGCTTTTGTCCGTTTCCCTTGTTATTATCATGGTTTTACTTGTGTCCAAAATATGTAATTGTTATTATCATGGTTTTACTTGTGTCCAAAATATGTAATTGTTATTATCATCCTCTTGTCATCTTCTAAATATGTATTGTTTTGTCTTGTGCAGCCGTTATACTACATGTATTGGCTATGAACATTGTATTTATGTTAAAACAAAATAAACATAGAATTGAATACAGAAGTTTTATATGTTTTTTATTTATAAGATAATTAATTCTGTAAACAACATATTAGTATCCATTCCTATGAAGTAACCTTGAATTTTTCACAATAACTGTAAACTGTACACATAAATGTTTTATCATGTCCTGGTAATAATAATTAATTAATTTAAAGAGTGTACATATTAATTCCTTCTATTCAAATTTGATTACAGTAGAACCCATACTTAAGACCATCCTTGATTTTTAAGACAACCCCTCTTTTAAGAACAATTCTTATAAGAATGGAATTTTTTGTTCTTTATTTATTAAGCAGCACGCTTCCAGATTTATGTTAAATTTCATGAAATTTAGATAATGTATTTGACAGTAAAATATTGTAAGGTGAACAAGTAAAATTATTTACATATTGCAATGGGCACTTACTATCCATGCAAATAACCAAAAAGAGGTAAAAATGTGAAAAAAAAAAACACCTTAATTACTGCGTTAGTAACGAAGTAGAAATATGGTGATAAAATACTGCAAAATCAGTCTTAAATCGCAAATACCATGTAAATTTCAACATAAATCTTGTTTGTTTTTCCCTTTGTTGAAATATTAGTACATTTTTCTCAATTTTCATTTTCTTGAAATATTTTGGCTCATCTGGAGGCGTGCAGCTTTAAATGGTAACAAGATCTACATTTAAGACCACCTAACTTTTCCACTTTTAAGACCACCAGTTTCAGTCCCAACCCCACTATTGTGACCGATAAGCAAGTTGTTCTTTTACGCGTAGTTGTACATGTAGTCTAAAAAAATACATGACATAGGACTTAATTACACAGCAGTGAGAAGAATTATAAATGTGAGATTTGTGATCGTGCATTGGCATGGAAAAACAGTCGTAAAGGACATATGACTATACACACTGGTGAGAGCAATCATAAATGTGATATATGTAGTTTTTCATTTGCACAGTTTAGTAGACTTAAAGCACACATGGCAAAAGTACACTCTGGTATGGGAAATATATGTGACCATGTAACTTTTCCAAAGAAATAATCTTGTAAAGCATATGAAAACCCACTATGGTAAGAAAATTTTTAACAGTAAAATATGTCATAAATCATTTGCATATAGGAGTTATTTTTTTAAAAAAGCATAATATTTGTGGCAGTTCTCACAAGTGAGAAGACTACATGTGATACGTCAATTGTAGACAAAGGTAACCTCATAAAACACACACATCAAAACATTACTCTGATTTTATTGACCTGTCAATTATGAATACATTATAGGACTCATTTAAATATTCGATCCCACTTCGGTTTGGTCCGTGTAGTTTACGAGAATTAATGTGGAGTGAATTGGATGGATTGAAAGTCACGCCAGCTTAATGTGAAAGTTTTCGTTAATTCACAATAGTGAATTGACTTTAACACTTGGGTCTATGTAGACATTCATTTATAAGATTTGATTTTGCCTTTTGTCATGACCGTAAATGAGGCCTTTTTATATGGTGATGACATTGTAATTTAAGGTCAAGGTCAATATGGTTTTAACACAAAAATGCTTGTTCACCTATAATTAAAGAATGCTTAGAATTGCAGCGTTACGATATGGTATTGAGCTGCTACTGCTTGACATGACCACATGGGGACTCGACAGACAAGTGTAAAAATGATTCTAGAAAAAATTCCGATTAAGATATTTCCTTCTACCATAAAATACCTTTAAGCTAATACATAATAATATAAATATAACCCTTCTGATTGTTTAAAATAAAAATAATTCTTCAATTTTGACTGCACGCTCCTGGTTGACTTGCGTTGTCAAATGCTCCTAAATTTTGATTCTTTGACGAGTTAGGTGATATCAGAAATGATTTTGTGCTATGTCTCAATTGTTGTCTGTTTAGCAAAATAATATACATGTATACATTGTTTATTAGCTATTCCTTTGTTTTCATATTGCAATTAACTAATGTATATTATCAATATTCCTCAATACAGCTAACAAATTATAAATGGTAGATATAAAAATATTACAATTAAAGTAATTGTTTCAAGATTATAATAACATCAGCACAAAATCAATCAGTGGTCGAACAATCTCGATGAAGACCCGATAACCAACCCGGGAGAATATCTTGATCAACCACCATGAAAACAATGTTTTCTCTAT